GAACCGAAAACCATTGCCAACTGAAGTTCACAAAGTAACTGAACCTCAAATCATGAATCGAAAGATAAAAAGCATACAAAATGCGTGTAATTTTGCCTCTTTGATAAATTAAATTCAATATTATTTGCCCGAAAAAGTTTCGATGCTTGTTGAAACGCGAAAATTCAAACAAAAACTCTTGCAGGCGTAAAAAGAGACGTTGTGTGCAGCTCTCATGAGTGAACACTTGTCGTACATATCGTTTCGCTTTTTTGTTGTTGTTGTCATCGTCGTCGTTTATCTTGTTTTGAGTCTCGGAGAGTTCTGGTTTGATGCTTGTATTTATTTGCTTTTATTTTGTCCTGTTGTTCGGGTGAAATAAAAACTTTGAAAGAGAGCAAGCGAGCGAGTGAGTGAGCGAAAGAGAAGAAGAACAGAAGATAAAAAAAGGAAGCGAAAGAGAGACAAAGAGATAGGGAGACAGAGTGTATGGGTGAACAAGAAAAATACAGGATGAGTGAAACATAAAAAAGAAGGAGAGAATGGGAGATAGAGTTTTGAGCTGATTTGTTGTTGGGAACAACAAAAGCTGTCCAAATATTGTCGTTGTTGCTTGTATTAAAGACTAAATAGATTTACTTTGTAATTATATAGTCGGTTCGGTAGAGGATGATCGAACCAGATCTGAATAAAATGAACACAAGTTCGAAAAAACGAGAACTTCAACTTATTTGTTTTGTTGTCGTTAGAAAGATCTAATTACACATTGTTTACTGTCAATAAACTGCTCACAAACACACACACACATGCACAACGTACCGTTCACAAGACTGTTGTCACAAAAATGTGTCATGTTCGCACGGCATCCTGTTCAAACCAACTGAATATCGGCTAATCTGCGTTGTAATGATTTAAATAAACAACGATGAGCTGGCAAACAAAAGGAGTTGTTTTGTTTGAATAAATACTCTCGTGTGAATTTTCTAATGTGTTTTCCATGGAAATTAGTTTTTATTTATTGTGTAGGCACGCGTGTACAAATCAACTGGAATAAAAGAGTTTTAAATGGCAATGGCTATAACACTGCTGCAATAGAAAAGATGATATAATTTGCCGGATGTAATAGCGTTCCGCTTAATATTTGCAACCATTCAAGTCCTTTTTTCAAATCATAATCAACTCTTTTCTCGATTCGCAAGCATTTTTTTCCATGCACCCAGCTCGTTCTTCTGTTTACTAATTTAAATCAACCCTATCTAGAACAACATTCAATTTGCATAATGTTAAATGGAACAAAATGCCATCATCGATGTCGAGTGCAGTGTTGATCTCATTTAAATAGCAGTGATTATCGATCAATGATATGGATATTTGAGCCATCCCTCTGCCACTTCTGGTTAAAAATTAGCATAAAAATTGGCTAATCACACGTTTACAAATCGATTGAATATCAAAATGTTTCAGTGACTCAAACATAAACATTGCCTCGAATTCCATTCAAATTTATGCAAATGATGCCAAATCTCGTGCAAATTTCGGTGCAACTGTGCAAAAGTGCAACGCTGCAATAGTAAATGAGAACCTTTTTTTGTCGACCCAAATCTTGATTTAGGTCCCGTTTTTCTATTGTTCACAAAGGCTCGTTCGAATCGTAGCGGCAGAAAAAAAAATCGAGGCAAACATTATGCAAGAGAGAAAAAATGACGAGGTGATAAATGACATATAGAATATGGTTTCTTTTTTCATACGTGCACAAACCTTGAACGTTGCTCCATTGTGATTTAGTGCTTATTCTAATGAATAACAATCATATTTATTATTTTTTTTTGTTTACATGTTTCAAATATTTGTGCTAGCTTACACTCACACCCAATCCATTACTTAATGTCGCTACCGAGTGTTTTTTCCAGTATATGTTCCATAATGAACTCTGACTCTCTACTCACAAAAGTGCGCCCCTTTCATTTGAATAGGTACTGTTTTTTCCATTGAATTGGTACGTTTGTGAACGTCGGTCTAGAAAAAGGAGAGCGATAGAATTAAAAAAAACTTAACCCCTTTCCGTTTTTTGATTACTCTGTCGAACGCAATTATTTGAATGTTTCGTTTGAGATTTAAGTTAATAAAATTACAGTTAATCCGTTGAAATTTAAAATAAACAGATTAGTCACACATCAAACCAAAAATAACAATGCATTTTGTTATGAAATTGGGCTCGACAACGGGAAATACCTCTTTTGCGGTAGTTCATTCAGAATTTGTGGAAAAATCAGCAATGATTTGCGTACGGTGATGGAACAGCAACCTTTTGCACTTTTCGAAACCATTTGTGATATTTGATGCGAAACACAAGCATTTCGAGCAAGAAGACTATGAATGAAATTAAAAAGCCGAGTGCCAATAGGTAAAATTCGCCACTTAAATCAGTTTAATCCAACGCTTCGAACGCAAGCAATCCATGTTCGGCCGGTGGTTTCAAATAATAATTCATATTAGATTCATGTCTGAGAATATCAAACCAACGCCACATAACAACACTTTCTTGATATCTAGGGAGGCGAAATGGAACACAAAATTTGTAGTGAAAACATTTCTCAACCTTTTTTTACAACAATTTCTAATTTTGAAAACAAAAAAGGACATCATTTTAAAATAGAAGAGATTCTTATACAGTCAGGCCCGTCGAGATTCAAATGATTGAAATTTCGGGCTATCGAAACTTGACGGTATCAGAAAATTGAAAATTTTCATAAAAATCAGATCTACCTCGCCAATTTGTACGAAAAGTAGCTGGAGAACGGTGATTGTGGTGAGTACGCGAAAGCGGTAAAATATTTTATGAGTTATGTCTTCGTTAGGCGCAACGGTATAATTTTCGTGTTGTCTCTCAACGGAAAGTTTGCAATATATTGATTTGAAAGTTTGGTAACAATATACCCAAATTTTCCACTGTTGATGTGCCTTGCTCGACATTGTGTCTATCTTTCCAATTGAATACGATTGGCAAGTGTTGTAAAAGCAGAGTAATTATAGGTCATAAGTTGTTTTTGCAGCCATGTAATATTGTATCCACCCAAATGTAATCGACGTTCTATGAACATGTCCACACTGTCAATCGGAGAAGTAAATGGTGGCGTCGTCAATAGGCTCATAAATCCCGTTGAATAGAAGACTCCGATTAGCAGTGTAAAAATGACCCAACCCAAAATCGCGAATTTGATTGGAGTTTGAGATGGGAATCGGTTCATTCCGTGTGATGTGGCGGTGTTAACAGCTTCCATGCAGGCATTCAACAGTGTACGAAATGGTAAATTCTTTGTGTCGTACATCTTAAGTTTGATTCCCAATTTTGTGATCCCACTCAATACAAGCACAATACTCACAAATGCAATGCAGAAATATAACCAAACATTTGCTTGCAACGAAAGATATATAACGGCAGCTACGTTGATTGGTTTTTGTCGTGGCACCATTATCGTCATACACTGTTGATCAAAAAAACTGCTTAACGCATAGGAATTGTGATGGGATTGATCCAACCAAATCGAACACGAAACCATATCATTTTCATGCCGATCAATCGATTCAACTAAATTGTCCCAACTTTTATTGTAAACACTGTATTCGATATTCCAGCCACGAATCACATCATCGACAAACCAATATTCCAAACCTTCGAATCTGAAATAAATGCGACGAATCAAATTAAACGCAAAAAATGTGAGAAAATTCATCGCTTCACTTCTTCTTTTCCGCATCTTGAACAACCATGTATGGTGGGTAATCGAACAAACCATTTCTTTCCCGTTGAAATCGCCGGGTTGAAAAGCGGATGATTATCGACTGTTCCAAAGAAATTGGCCAACACTTTTGGATTTTGTACCTGCGTATAAATGGTTCGATTTGTCACCAGATTTTTCAAGTACCAATAATTTAAATTGAAGAAAGGCATAGACCGATTGAAGAAACCGTTTTGCAGAACAAACACATTGTAGCCATTATTCATGGCTCTTAGGACGTGTCTTTGTGGTATTATCATCATTTTTGGAATGAATAGAAAAATATTCGTAAACGGATGGAAATAATGTTTCATTCCTTTTCCAAAAATCGATTCCAAAAGGCAAAATCTTGTGTTAAAATCATGGTCAGTCGAGTCTACCTAAAATCATGAAATGAACTTTGCTGGTTTTTTTCTTGGTGATTTTGATCAATTTTTTTAAGAAAAACTTTTATTTCTTCAAATATTTTTCAATTTTCTCTGTTTTTTTCTAAATTTTTGGTTTTATTTTCTGTTTTAGCACAAAATGAGACACAGTTTCTGGTTTTCTCTTTAGATTTTTCTGCTCTTTTGCCTTTCTTCCTTGCTATTTTGCTGGCGTTTGATTTTTTTTTCCAACTTGTTCACAAACTATTGAAATAAATGCTTGAGAGTCAGAGAATTCAACTTGTCGACAGAACAATTCCAAATCCAACAGCGTGGCTCTAGAAGGAATTCATGGGTTTATATACTACCTCTTTGATTACACAAGATTAGAATCTTGATCAATTGACAAATGAATTGTGCAAATAAAATGAAATCCATTTCATTGATTAAATTCTGAGTGCGTTGGTTTCCTTTTGTTTGTTGATTGCGGTCAGTAAACCGATGGAAAAATCGATATTTTATACGGTAAATTCTTGCTATGTGTAGGTCATTCTTTTTGAATCCAACAGTGGGCAGTTTTCTTTCTTTATTCATTTATGAAATTGAATAAATTTTGTGTATTAGAAAAAATCACAAGAATCCACTAAAACTTGAAATTGTCTCTTTTCAAAATCTTCTTCCCTTCGTGTCTCTATTTAAGTTTCACTAACCGTCTGCACTTGGTATGCAATCCATCGAGTCCGAAGCTTCATTCGTTCATTTGGAGTAGACTAGATGGCGTTCGTGTGTCATTCGAATGCTTTGAATTTCTCAAGTTAAGTGGCGACCTCTCTTAGAACCCACTTAAATCTTTGGGCAATAATAACAAATCACCAAATTTGAATGGATTATAAACAATTTTTATTTCATATTAAATTATTCTACATATATGACTTGTTTCCTGACACATATTAGCCTCTGGACAATGTGAATGTATTCAATACAATTCTCTTGAACTCTTCATCAATTTAGACATATTTACTCATAGAATCATCTTTGGGCACTCAGTATAATTTTTATCCTAAATAGGCCATCGGATTAAAATATCACAAATAGTTTTGAAATGATCGCAAAAATTAGCTGTAATTTTTGGTATCAAGCAATTAAATCGATGTTTACCTCAATAATGGCCGTTTGAAAATTTCGGTGAAAATTTAGTTAACCCATTGAACTTAGGTGAAAAAAATGAGCAATTTACATAAATGCAATGCGACCACTGAATGTCCCAAAAGAGAAAAGTGAACGGAAATGAGTGAATCCTAATTAAACCAATTACCGGTTCGCTTTTTACAAGAAAAATAATTTATGTTAACCACCTTAGGCAAAGAAATGCCATTGGTGCCGAACATTATTATTATTATTAACAATTTTCAGTGGGATTTCTTTGTTCTCTGGAAAAAAATCTCACTGGAACTATTCGAAGATTCGAAATTCGGTATGATTGAATCGATCAAAATATACTAGGGATTGATATTAGAATGGGATCTTCTATTGCGTCATCCGAATGAAGCACTCTATTGCTAGAGTTAATCGGCGATTGACGTCAAACTTTCACCTTGTGAAATGTGAGCAATTCTGCCATCAGCTGAATTCTCCAGTTGAACCAATTTCTTCTTCTTGAGGCCTGAAAAAAGAAGAACAAAATAGAAACATTGAAGACAAATAAGAGCTTGGAACGAATGGAACATGATTCGAATCAATGAAAACAAAAAAGCAATTCAAAACAAAAATGATTCCAAAACAATTATGTTGTTCAAATAATCGATTCGATTGTACTCACTCAAAAGTGATGAGAATGTTTTGGCGGCTTGGAAACGATTGCAGCGTGGTGTCAACAAGTGTTCAACTTTGATTGGGTGTACGTTATCCTTCCGCCACAATTTCATCAACGTTTGCATTATTGTGTATTCCAATGAATTTTCGCCGAGCAGAGTTGCCAAATCGTGGTGTTCGACTAGTGGAGACTCATTGAAATCAATTTCGGGCACATTTTTTTCGTTCAAATGTGGAATTGATTGGTCGTTTAACACGATGCGACTTCGGCTGGCATTTAGGAAGTCTGGTGGTGGCATAAGAGCACTGTCTTGGAATGATGGCGATGGATCGAAGAGATCACTCTGGGATCGTGGCGCATTAAAACTGTTGACCGATTGCTGTGATGCACGAATCGGAGTCGATGTGAGTGCCGGTTGAATTGGAACTGAGTCACTGACGCGGCTCAATCGGCTGCTGCTTCGTGTTTGAATGCGACTTTCACTTTCGTTCCGCAAAATCTCGATTTCACTCGAACCATCCGAACCGTTCGATTGATTTTGGTCACCAGTCTCAAATCTTGAATCGTTGAAACCATCTTTAATCGTTGTCCAATCGGTGTCAGCCACTCGCATTTTCGCCGTGCGTGCAAACAATTCACGAATGAAAAAACCGTTCATAATGGGCAACGAAAAGATATCGACCTTGTTCAGTTTCGCCTGCTTATCTTGCGTCATGAGATTAGATCGGCGAACGTTGCAACCAATTGTTGCGCTGTTGAGAGCAAAAAAGCGGGAAAATGCACACGTGATTAATTATACGAGTTTAACGGTTCTTGGCGGGAGAAATCAGGAAAATACTCACTTTGTTGTGCGTTTTCTCATCAAACGATTCGAAATAATCTTGTCCTCATCTTTGAAAATCGAGCGTTTACGTTTTCCACCGCCGATTCGCAATGCTGTAACAGCTAGTGGTGCTAACGGCGTCACTTTGGCCAGCAAATTGAGTGGATTTTCCTTTCGACGCACACTTGGCTCTGGTGGTGGTGGTGCTCCGGCTGCTTGTTCAGATCGATTGCCAATCGACTCCAGGTCGATGTCCAGCTCGTCAACGTTATTCATATTCTCGTCCAAATCGATCGAAGGGTGACGTGGAACAATACCCACCAAGTCATTCGATCGAGTGTTATTCAATTCGGCGTCATCCATCGCCACCATTTCCTCGTCTTCCTCTTCGAACACACCAAACCCATCGTCACCAAAACCATTCTCCAACTGCACAGGAAATTACAAACAAAACATTTCGTTGCGGTTTATTTTAGATTAGAAGAAAGTTGTCATTCGTTTCACGTTTCTTTGGCAATCAATTTTCTATGAGTCATTCTCATTTTTAAGTAGAAAAATACCAACCGATGCATCGATTCCGACAAAATCGGGCATTGTCGGCTCGTCAATCTCACGCAGTGTGACTTTGCTAGCTGGAACCAATGTCGTATCCGGATATTTGGTGATGTCATTTTTGTCTAACACAAGCGGCACTTCCCAGAAGCGAACTCTTTCGTTTTCAGTCTCTTCCTCTTCAACCACTTCGACTGTACGCGCTTTCTTGTTCTTCGATTTTGTGATCACTTGTTTGCTGCAACGATTTCCAATCAAAATTAAAATTGAAAAATTGAAAAATTACTTACGAATCACGAATTTTCCATTCAAAAACCAAGCAGAAAATGTGAAAAATTGAAAAAGGACTTGAAAGTATATATCGCTTACGTTTTGCGTTTTGTTACTTTTTCAATGTCGAACAATCGACCGCTGCATTTGCCCAAGAGCTGACGACTTTCCTCTGTGAATAACGACAACAATGAAATCAATTGTGTGCATAAAACGCAAGAGTTGATTGAGCGAGTAGAACAAAAATCATCAAAATTATGCGTAGAAAATCCGCTTCAGAGCAACAGCAAAAAAAAACTATGATTTCTAATGTCAAACGAATGATTGAATTGGGAACAAATTACCTAGACATAACCGCACTTGAATGTCATGATATGTGGTCAAGCCTAACAGTAAGCGTCCAGTCAATGTCCACGCAATCCGGCGTGTGTACTCACGTGGATTCTTTGTGTTGATCGTTGTGATTTTTGCACTGTTGAAAAGCAAATACCAGAAAATTTATGTAAATTCTTTTGGAAAAATGGGTCCAAATTTGGTTCAAAACACTTTCATAAAATTCTCGTTTGTTTTTTTTACTATGAGATTTTTGTTTGTTTCGAAAGCATTCTTTGTCCTGAATCCGTTACAATTCTGGTGTTGCTTGACGTAAATCCAACCAAAACTCACCAAGTGCCTTGAAAATCACCGATTCGGATTTCGCCATTGTCGCCGATTGCCTTATTATCAACGAGGCTCAACAATTGCATCAAGCTGTCATCATTACGAACATTTTCTTGAAAACTCTGTGCCATTTTGTCGCGTTTATTTTTCTTCCACGATTTTTCTTCTCACTTTATTAGCTTCAAGCCAAATTTTTGCGTTAGTAACAGACTGTTATAAGCAGTTTATGCCCTCGAATCAAATAACACAATTATCGGATCTTTTACAGAATATATACACTTCACATGGGCGTCGGTCCATGTGCACAAATCGAAATTCCAAACAGTAATGGTGACGCTACCGATTTGCACATCTCAGTTTGGCGCGTTTTTGGTTCGTTTTGACCAATTTGCATCGGCCCATGTGATAAAATGAGAACTTGATGCATAGCAGCATCCTTTTCTTTCCAACTGGCAAATCGTCGTATACAAACGACCGCATGGTTGTGTTTATAGTATTGATAAGCGTGATTCGCATCGAGAACGGTATTCATTGTATTGTGCGTGTCGTTCTCATTTAGTGTGACCGAGCATCAACTCATCGTGTGACCGAGCATCAACGACTTTTGGCGCAAGCACACAAACACACACATATTTCGCCCCGACAACAGAGCGACAGCAAATGTGGAACGAACTGCAATGTCAAATGAAAAACAACAACCAAATGTGTTGTTGTTGTTGCCAAGAAACCTGAGAACGAAAATCACTACCATAAAAATGCGCAAGCCAAAATAAATAAACACACATTGAATATTGTTTTTGAAACAATAATTTATTTTCTGTTCTTATTGTTTAGCTTAAACTGAATTTACAAATACACTTATTGTCATCGTTGTCATCGTTGAGGGTTTCTTCTTCTTCTTCTTCAACTTAAAATAAAGATTCCAGAATTTAAAAAAAAAAATGATGCTCGACTGAGCAAAACATGTTGCGTACACATTCAATATAAAAAGAAACTTCAAGCAAAATAATATCAATTGAGGAATAAACGATTTCGCGAGTAATTCTGCTTTTGTCAAATATTTACAGGAACACACGACATATTCAAAGAATAAAGTTCGATCGGTTTCACTTACACAGAAAACGGTTTGATGAGTTTCCAGCGTAATTGAAATCAATCACAACATTCCGAGTACTTTGTTTTTTTTTCTCTTTCTTGTGAACCTTTCGTCACAAGTTAGATCTTACAAGCAATATTTATAAATTTATATATGGCTCATTTACAAATAACTAAAATTTTAAAACTGAATGCGATCGGTCTTTTTTGTGTGTGTGTCAATTTGTCTTTTCTGTTCTATTTACTATTCCTTGATGTTTGCTGGTGTTTTTTGTTCGATGTACGTATCATTTTTCGTTGGTTGGTGGCTTAATATTTAAATTGAATTGATTATGATTTAGCCTATGAATTGAGTTAAATCTGGTAATGAAAAATCGGTGAAACCGGTTGTTGTTGTCCACGATGCAATTGGTCGTGATCGTGTGTTTCGTGATGTTGGTGGCACACTCAAACTAACAAGATTGCTGGTGCTTGGTGAATTTTGCACCACCAATCCACACTGTGCACTGCAAATATCATCGGCCAAAATTGCATCTCTTGACCATTCACGCGCCAATTGCGCACAGTCTGTGATTCGAAGTGATGCACATTGAGGCTGTTTGGTGAGAGAAGAAAGAGAGAAATCATTTAGCATAATAAAATGGAAAACTTTGACGTTTTTTTGGGTGAAAATTTCAAAAGATAATGAGTTATGCTATACGTACGCCTTCATTTGTACATATGCAGCTAGTACATGGTGATGGGAATGCTGATTGTCCAACGGCCACTTGACGACCGCCAATTTGACAACCTGAAACGGTACTCTCTCTCCATGCATTAAAGTCCATTTGTTGCATCGTGTGACATGGAACTCGTGGATTCCTACAAATATTGACATTTAACATGAGTTTTTGTTCTCTTCAAATGATAGAATTCATTTAAAAAAAGAACTTACAAGAAATTGCTTGGCAAATCAAAGGCAGCACGTTGCATATCACCTGGATTGTCCATATTTTCACAGATGACTTTCGAGAGTGTAACCTTTCGGATTTCATTCAACTGAGCTTCAGTGAATTTCAAATTTGGATCATCTGTTTCGTACCAGAATCGATCGCATTTTCTTAATTGACGGAATTGAATACCAATGATGCAAGCGAATGTTGGTCCAACCAAACCGCCTTGCAGAGGCCTGTAAACATGAGAAAAATAGTTGATTTTTTAGCACTAGAGTTTGTACAGAGTAATTTTATGTTAATTTTTCCATTGTTCTCGATGATTCAATTTTCACAAATTAAAAAATACTCAAAAGTGCTGCCTTGAAGCTCACCTTTCTGACATGCCTCCCGGGAACAAATCAATGTCGTCAACTGATGCGTAAATGCGTTTGAAACGTGTAATAACTTCTGGTGGAATTTCGCGGCTCAAATCTTCCCACGTGCGTGCCCGTTTCAAATTGCACAATGCACGATAGTTATTGTATGATGGGATACCATGGTCACGAGCCCGTTGAACATTCAATGCGATCAAATCGACGCCGGAGAATGGAATGCGTCGATCTTCAAACAAATGATTCGATACCTCGCCGGTGATGAATTGATCGAGCGTTTCCATTGGTGTGGCGACTAAACCGCGAGAAATTTCGTCCATCATTTCGGGTGCCATCAATGCGTCCATTTTGAAGAAGAAATCACGAAGCAAAAGTGGTGGATCAATTGGTTGATGGTTAGCACTTAATCGTGGAATGTGTGGTCGCAACAATGAATGACCGATACGGTATGCGGCTGCAGCGAATTCAGTTACAATAGCCGGATTACATGTTGGATCATACTCCTTGTAGTAACCCTGTGGCAACAATTTCAAACCGTACAAATTGACAGCGTTCCAGCTCAGCAGACGTGGCAAAAATTCGTTGTATGTAATGTGTTGATTTTCAGCGGCGACAATACGACGAGCCTGTTGGAACAATCTATCGTTATCCCAATGTGGATTAACCGTGTGAAGACCGTCAACAATGCGATTGTGTTCACGCAAGAAAGTGGTGTGAATGGCCGTCAAACCGGGTTGCTCCGAAGCACGACCGTCACCAGCTATAAAACAGTAGCCACTTGGTGATTTACATTCGGGATGTTGATCGGAACGTGGCAACAACTCCTTTCCACGGACTGGATGGTATGTTGAATTCATGCGACCGTTTTCGAAGTGACGCAATTTATTGGCCAAACATGTATTTTCACCGTAAATTTGTGATGCATCCAGGAAGGCAGTATTTTGATTGATTTGTTCACGTGGGCCCAACGATTGTTGACCTGGCAACGATCTCATGAATGGGAAGCACATTCGCTCACCGCTGGTCACATTCAAATCGGGATAGAAATTATCACCTTGTGGAATTGGGATTGGATTACATTCGGGATGTACGGTGCGTGACGAATCGCATGAACGACACTTTGGAATTGACTCATGGAAACCTTTGTGAATCGGGGTCATAGTCAAATCGTGATCCAAAAATTGAGCAAATTGCATCGTCATCAACGAGTAGCGTGTGTGCAAATTTGAAATGTCCGGATGAATGAGCGATGAAATGGTACGTGGATTTGGCAATGGAATTCCACTCACTGATGTTTGACGCGGACGTGATATACCATCTTCGTACACAGGTGGCAGTAAACGATTGAATGTTGTCAATGATTTTCCCCATTCCGGATTGCGGATATTGTTGCAATGACCGGTCAACGTTCGGAATGGTGTTGTTGGATCACATGGCGCAGTAAAGTCTTCACATTGTGGCTCAAGCGAAACGGGTGAAATTGAACCCGACAACAACGAATTCACATCAATGTTCTGCAAACTATTCTGGAAATCATCACGGAACACTCCAATCAATGCATTCGTATCGAATGTTTGACGCTTACGACGATGAATTCTACAATTGAAAATGGTTTGAAATTAGACGACTTTTTTCTTTTGGTTCTTTATTAAACACAAAAAAAAAACAAATCAATTTGTGTGTGTGCATCACTTACCCTTGCAGTGAGCTCAAGATTTCATTTGAAACAAATTCAAAGAACAACGACGAGTTACCCATTCTTATGGCATTTTTATTGGCTTTACTGAATGAAGCAGCTGTTCCATCTGGTGATCGCGCATCAATTCCACCGTCTGAATTAAAAAAAAAATGAATTATCAAATCAAACGATTTCAATTTTTCAATGAAAATGTCTCTCTCTGTGTGAATATGAATGGGTATCTGTATGTTTTTTTTTAAACTGAATATAAAAGTACTCACTGTTCAACCATGCTTCGTATTCAAATCGGCGACGTTCGTTCAAATCAACTTTAGCCTTTTCGATGGCGGCTTTGATGAGATCTTCATTGACATCTTCAATGGCTGGAGTTGCTGTTTCTTCTTCGACGTCAGCTTCAGTTGTGAATTCTGGCTCTTCATCCGTATGCCATGCAGATAAATCAAGGCCTGGTAATTGTTTGCATGTTTGACGGTAGTTCCTGCGTATGATTTGAATATTGGATTTGGTCTTTCAATTGATTTTTTTTCCATTGATTTCTTCCATTATAATAGGAATTGTAGCCTGGATATGAATTTATGTATAAAAAAAAGTCATAACTTACAAGTATGGATCTTCCTTGATGAATGCTTTTGGTTGTGATCGTTTCATTTGACCGGCTGTACACAAAAGTCCCGACAAAGTGACTCGACGAATGGCGCTCAATTGATCCAAATTGAGTGATGATGGTGGAATATCGTTTTCATACCAGAATCGATCGCTGTTTCTCAGTTTATCGAATTGAATGGACAATACGCATGAGAGTGTTGGTCCAAAGATTGTTCCCAATGCTGGTGTTTCCAACAGAGCACCGGCCAAAAGATCAACATCTTCAGCGTTTTGATAAATAGCCTCCAATACTTTTCGGCTGTGATTGCTTAGACCGCCATACAATTCAAGATCATCGAATGATACTTTTTGCTCAACGCTTGGCAGACGCGCATCACAAAGGTTCAATGCTTTATGGTAAGCTGGAATACCGTGATCACGACTACGATGAATGGCCAATTCGATTGGTGACCAGTGTTGATTGAATTCAAGGCTGTTTGGTTTCAATGTTTTCAGCATAGCCGATGCGCTCAACAAAGTTTCAATGGTTGTTGATTCGTTTGTCATGCCATTTGGCAGCATCGTTAAGAATGCTGGCAAAGCACTGGTTGCGATTTCATTGTAGACACCTGGTCGAATAGCGCTCGAGTAGCCATCGTAGTGTTTGCCAAAGACCATTCTGTTACAAAAATGTTTAAAAAAAAATTACAATAAAAATGGTTCAAGACTTCAATAGAAACACAAAAAATGTGAGAAAAAATATTTACCGCAAGCTTTCTTTGTTGGCAATTTGTTGTCCCAAGATGATTGGAAGGAATTCATTGTAGGTGATGTGTTGAATTTGAGCGACCAGAATGCGACGAGCCTCCAAGAATAGAACGGTATCGCTCCACGTTGGGTTTTTGTCGGACAAAATGGTGGCGATGCGATTGTGTTCCCGCAACAAAATGGTGTGCAATGCACCAACGGCTCCGGATTCAGTGCATCGAGGACAGGCACGAATATCGACCTTACCACCACGGAACAATCTCAATGAGTTGATTTCTTTTTCGGTTGCGCCGTACAAGCCCGATCCATCGATGAATCCGGAGGCCAAATTCATTTGATTTCTATGCTTTATTTCACAATTGCCTTGTTCCACTGATGGCACCGATCGTTTGTATTCCTTGCAGTCAGCACCCGATCGTACGTAGCATTGTTCGATTTCATCGGCGGTTGTGTATTTGCCGTTGTTTTTGCAGCATTTCATGCTGCTGGACAATGGCGAGATTTCAGCCAAATCGTAGGCCAACAATTGACCCCATGCTGGAGCCATGGCTGTGATGTGTGGATGCAACAAAGTCTCATCCACCGATTTGTGGATTTCATCGACCACAAAATCGGCTGCAGGCAATGCATGTGAACCGGTCGAGGTTCTTGGTTGAACGCGACCATCAGCATAGCTTGGTTCCAACAATCGAAGGAATGCATCGCCTCGGGCACCGTGGCTACGATTCAAAATGTTGTTACATTCACCAGTTGGAGATCGGAATTTGCTCGGTGGGCATGGGGCTATCTTCACATTTGTGTCGCATGTGTTTACATTTGTCTTCTCCAATTTCAATGCGAGACGAACACGCGATTTCAAATCGGCCGGTACGGATCGCGAACAATATGCATTTGTGACTAGAAATATGCTGTAAAGAGAAAAGAAGAGAAAAAAAACGATCCATTAAATCGTTGAACAGTGTGTTGTTGTTTTCGTTTGCGCTAAAAACGATTAAAACAGTTAAACAAGCGAACAGAGAGATAACACCTGCGCTGTGTGTGTGCGCGCGCAAATGAAAACGTTTTCTCGCATTGCGTAGGTCAAAGTAGAAAATGCAATTGCAATGAAAACAGACATGAAATGGTGAAAATTACGTGGTAGCTGGAAGAGCGAAAGTGTTGTGCCATGCAAAAAAAAAATGCAATGCAAATGTGAATTGTAAATGAATACGTACAAAACGATGCTCACATAAGATCGAAATGGTGTGTATTTAAAATCGAAACAACATTATGATTATGACTTGGCACTGAATTTGCTGAATTAAAGGTGAATTGTACTGAACGAAAAAAAAGAGCACATAAATCGTCAACACAAATGCGAGAGAGAGAAACTATTTATAGACGTATCGTCTTTCTGTTTTGAACAGACAAAAGAGAAGAAAAAAACAACTGGACAGATCCAGTTTAGCTCATGTTTTTCGGTTGTTTATGAGCCTAACCGTTAACGGCTTTGCAATGATAACCGCAAATTACCGCCTTTCGATGATTGCATGTTGCACAAAAGAAGATGGCTTTTTTTTGTAAAAACATTCATGACTAAATGAAATTATGCCAAAAAAAATATGTTCAATTTTTGGCCATCGTTTCACTTTCGACAACTGTCGAAAATTCGTGTCAATTGCTGGTTTGCCCATGATTTTGTGATATTAATTCCTTGTGTTGTTTTCTTCCCTTTCTGATTTCTTTTTTTTTTCAATCATGTTCAATTTTTTCTCTCTTCTTTCGCAAAAATCATTAGGAATTTTTGATACAAGTTAAGTCTATAAATTGAACCAGTCGGTAATAATCGAGTGTTATTAACAGTAGCGTCAATTCCACGGAAATATTGCTCATACGTTATACGGTCGTTGAAGAGTTGTTTGATGTCACTTGTCTTGTCTCGTTTTGTCGTGATTGTCTATTAAGTGTCCATCATTGCATAAACTGCCCAATTGAAATATGGCTATTCTGTAACAAGAAATACATTTCATTTGCTTAAACGAAATATTGTCATTCGTTTGTACACATTCCATAGATGGAAGAACAAGATCTAATGACAGTTTGCACGACGATCACATTTGAATGGCAAATTGAATCAGCTGGATTCTATACAGCCGATAGAATGGCTACAATGTCATATCACTTTGCATATTCAATGCGTTGCGTGAAATTAAAATGAAAATTGTTTGTTTTTTTCTTCTTCTTCGCTTTAAAAGTTGCAATTTGCATACAATGGCAAAAAAAGCATATTTCATATGGATTACCACTTCAAAGTGGAAACAATGCATCCGTATGAAGCCAGAAATTTGTGCTGTGACTCTGATTTTGCATGCACATTACTTCATTGAGAAAATATTCGTGTTTTTTTCATTTTCTAATGTTTTTTCCTTGCACAAAATTCATTTCGCATTCATATATGAACTTGAAATTTATGCGCCATGACAAACAAACGTTCGAACTTAACCAATCGCCGATTTCAATATTGAAATTCAATATTGAAATTTAACTGCCGTATATATATATATATATATATGTAAATCATCTTTAATTCGAATGATCTTGTGATGTCGTGGCTTTTTTGGGGGCATCGTGATATTCTCTTATCTCCGAGATCGAACGACCATTTCAGCTAAGAAATCTCGTGTGCAAAATGACTGACTTTGACTATAGGCTACTAATGAGCGATTATTCGGAATTTCGAGCTTGGTGCCACAATTCTTTGAAGTAGCAAAAAACCGGATAGTATCGGAATAAATTGGAAATTGTCGTCATTTGAGCTCCGAGAAAAAAAAATTATTCAAAGCTCTGAGAAAAAAATAGTGGCCAGAACCATGTGATTTGATGTAATCTTTGATTTAATTAAAGGAATATGCAAAGCCATATTCAAAATCTGAGTAAAAAATTAGCAAAATCCACCACGAATGGCAAAAAAAAATCGGTTGGCCCGAACTGACAGAAAAAAAACACGGTCCGAAGACCGGTAAAAGATCGTGATTGTGACAAGAATGATTGACGTGACATTTTTGCGCTGCCAAATATTCGGTCATTTTCATGCATCGTCCATACCATTGATTACATTTGTTGATAAAAAAAAAGCCAGATTTTTTGTTGTTGTTACGGTGTTGTACCCGTGTAAAATCTGATATCTGAACGAAGTTAATCGTCACATGAATGTGAGACGTTTTTGGGGTGTTTGATATTCGACGGGCGGCCGAGCAGAGGAAAGTGAGGTGAATAATCGACAAGCGAGAGCGAAAAAACGCCGAAACATTGTTCAAAAATATTTTGGTTGATCTGGCTTTAATGTCAGGTGTAATCATAAAAATGATCAGCTTTAGGCTTATTAGATGCCGTCCGTCAAATGTTCGTGGAGCGTGATTGTGCGTGGAGCATACAAACGGGCCCATTTACCGAGTGTATGTTCACGTTCTCCACTAGGGCGATGAGATACGGTTGAAAAACATTTTCGCACATCGCCAGCGGTCACTGATCGCTCTATAGTCGGTGAAAACAATTAAAATTACCGAGGCGGCCTATGAAACAGCGAGTCGAAATTAAGACAAATATCAGATAATGGATTTTCTGTCAAGTTCACGTTCAAGCGAAATTCGTTTATACAATGTTGGAAAGGCCACGCGCATGAATTTATTTTTGTTGTTGTTGAAGTGTTATTCAAACATATTTGTACAATCAATTTTGGCAAGCAATTTTGACTCCGTTTGGATAGACTGGAGTGTTTCGTGTACTTAACGGGTGTGAATTTTGAATGAAATCGCATTGAACAGCGTTGGCGGCGACGGCAGCCGAAATCATCATCAGCAACAACAGCAAATAATCATGTATTTGATCACATCAAAATAGCCATTGAACGGAATGGGCACTTTCTCAAATTTCAAGTGGGCCGATTGAATGAGACCGATTTTCGGCGCGGAAACAGCTATAACAATTCAATTGATACATGGAAACAAATTGTTGGCCATTCAATTGTTGTGTTATTGAAAATGAGACTCATCAAATCATGTTGATGAGCGGGTTTTTCGTGTAGCGACGACGGGCACACACTAACGTACTAACCAACTAAAATAATGACCGTATTCACAAATGGCAAACCGATCAAATGTGAGTTAATGGTGTCGGTTATTGGATTAATGGCCAATCGATTCAATCATGTGTGCATGCAATTGGCTTACATCATTTATGGATTTTAAATACCGGTCGAAAGAGAGAATGAACAAAAAAAACTAGAAAAATCATTTTTTCCTTCATTTTCACTGTTTGACTCGTTTGTTTTGCGATTTGTTCAAGCTTGATGATTATTTCGATTTCCAGTACGCGCTCGCGCACACAATGCGCATCAATTTTTTTTTTCTAATTTTGTCCATTTCCAAAATGTTTTATGATTATTACAATTCCTCATCATTTCCTTCCTAGTTAAATGAGTGATGGCACAAAAACAAACGAATGAATGCGCAACGAAAAGCGAACACAAAAAACACAACATTGAAAACCGATCCGCTAATAGTGAACATGCAACTCAAGTGAAGAAGTAAAAAAAAGAAAGATTTTGAAGTAAAAAAACAAATCACTTTCACTATTTCATCAAAAACATGTGTAGTTTTATCGATATTGCTTCGACCGACCGACCGAACCGCACAACGACCACAACACAACGCGCGCAACTTCGAATAAAAGTAAAAAAACGATGAAGAAGTTGGCCGCAACCAATAACGACTTTTAAATAGCATTATGCATATCAAGTCGATGCGCGAAATTTTCTGGATTTACTCATTTACACCGACGACTGTGCTGGGCTTTAATGATTTTTTTTTCTTCTACACATCGGAACAACATAAAATGCAAATTGGCCGCATTTAACGAAAACAAAATCGGCTGTTGGTTTATATTTTCTGTCGGTGTGTGTATGTGGATAATCCACAGTGGGTTTAATACAACGCATACCGAAAAAAGCGCCGTCCGTGAAAAAAAATTAAAATCGTTCCGTTATTTAATTGGTGCATTCGGTGCTGCACTTTCCACGTGCGATTGCGTTGTTCAATGGAAATTTTTCCGTTCATTGGCTATTCAATGGAATTTATAGTTCATTTGAACCAGCCACATTTTTTCCGACGTCGTCGTTTGATATCGATTCAGAATTCATGACAGTATTCCATCGATGTTTATTTCCCACCAACAAAACGCGTGTAAGTTTTATTTTCGACGGTACGTCATCTTCAAAAGATTTTTGGAGAAAAAATTTCGTTTTTGTCATCGTTAAACTTCTCAATTTTACTTTCTTCACACGTTCAGTAGAGCACTGTTTCACCTAGTTTTTGACATACAGTATTCAAAACTAGAAATAGAAATCGTGCATTGGTTTAATTTACTCGTGCCGTTGCCATCCCGCCACATTTAATGGGCAGACCAATTATTTCGTCGAAGCCAATAATTAATAGCGATGCAAATTAGCATGTGAAAATACTTTTCTCTCCTTTTCAGCGAGCGTCAGTGCGAGAAATTGTCATTAGCCGCACATTTAACGAAAAGCGTTTAAAATTTGATTGAACACACGGCGGCAATTAAATGGATTTCGAAAAAGTTCGAGTGCCAACGGTTTTTTTTTTCGTCGATCATCGAATTGATGAGATAGTTTGTTGACGAGACTGTTTTTGTTTGTGCCGAACGTAATTCAAGCGTAAAAACCGAAAATCAGAAACGAGAAAAAAACCAAAGCGAAAAAAGTCGATGTGCTCGAAAAATCGACAGACACCGATCGAAATTGAGTTGCAACATTACGGTAAATTGACTACAAAAAGCGGCGATGAAGAGACCTTGTTTTTTCTTCTGATTATCCATATCGATGGGTTGGAGTGCTTGTGCATTCTTCATTCGT